CGTGAGCTCTGGGGGTGCGGGCGTTGAGAAGGGTGCTAGTCCTGGGGGTATTGTCATGGCTTGTCCCGGCGGTCCTGGGGGTGGCACCGGTGTTGGAAAGGGTTCTCGTTCTAGGGCTGCTGGTTCTGGGGGTGCTAGTCCTTGGGGTATTATCGTGACTTGTACTGGCAGTCCTGGGGGTGGCATCAGTGCTGAAGAGGGTTCTCGTTCGGGGGGTGTTGTCGTGGAGTGTCCCGGAGGTAGCCGTGGTGCAATTGGAGGTTATGGTGTTGGTGTGGAGCAGCAGCAGCAGTCGCCGCCGGTGTCCGCCCTTCGCTTCCTCGGTCTTCCCTCCACTGACCACCCGCCTGTGCCTCCCCCGCCGCCACCTCCCTTGCCTGTCTACGGCCCTATGTTTCCTCCGCCGGACTCGTCTCAAACTCTTTTCCCCCCCATGGTCTCCTCCTATTTCTCCACCCTTATCTCCTAACCCGACCCCCCCCTCCCGCTGGTGATCTCACCATGCCTCTCGTGCTCGTGCTATCTCTCTTGCTCTGCGTTCTCACCATACGTTTCTTCGTTCCCACGCGTCTCATCCTCCCCTCCTGCTGCCGCCTCCTCTGTTGTCACTTGTTATCGCTCCGCCTCCTTTGTATGACTTTCTTTGTGCTGCTAGTCCTCTTGTTCCTCGGGTCCTTGCCTCCCTCGTTACCAACCCGTCTGTTCCTGTCTCTAGTCTCAGTGCTCTTGTCGCTGCCGTCGCTGACTTTGCCTTTACTCGTCACCTTGACTCTGCCACTGCTCTAGTCTATGGCCCTACCAGTCCTCCGTCCGTCCGAGGTGCTCCCGCCCTTGGCATTGACGTCCTGGAGGACCGGCAGTACGAGCTTGCTTTCCTGTCCGAGGTTGCTCCTCATCTCTGCTCCATGCTGCTTGTCCCTGAAGGTGACCCAAGACGCCCTTGACATCACGACCCCTTGCACTTACGCTGAGGCGACCTCGGGACCCTGGGCCTCTAAGTGGATAGCTGCCATGAACGCAGAGATGGCATCTTGGAGATCCACCGGCACCTACAGTACGTCGACGAAGTTCCCCTTACATGGGGTGAAAGTAATCTATGGTCGGTGGCTCTTCAAGGTGAAGCTCCCTCCTAGAGAGCCACCGGTGTTTAAGGAGCTACGTTGTTAGAGGCTTCAGTCAGCGCGAGGGTGTTGACTTCTTTCAAATCTTCTTCCCGACCCCGAAGATGACTACTCTTCGAGCGCTCCTACACGTACACAGACGGAAAGAATTGTCCATATGTTTGGCAATTTTTTGAATTTCCACCGTTAAAGGGCATTTGAACATTAAGCCTTAATTGGAGGCATTACCCACTATATGCAGGCCAATCTAGGGAGACATAAAAATGCTACACATTTGATGAAACTACTATCGTTAACAGTAAACAGCAAACATAACCAAACATGGTGCATGTGGACAATTATTTCCAGGCGGAAGCAGCAACTTGAAAAACCCTTAAACTAGTACCTGGTCCACCGCCCTTTAGCCCTAATCACTGCTTTCACCCTCCTGGGCATGCTGTCGATCAAATTGGAGCACACCTCTGCTGGGATCTTCTCCCACTCCTCTTGTACACGCTCCCACAGGTCCACCATACCAGTGGGAGGTGTCTCATGCTTTCCCAACTCCCTTTTAAGATGAGCCCACAGATGCTCAATGGGGTTCAGATCAGGACTTCCTGCCGGCCACTCCAGGACCCCATACTCCTGCTCCTGAAGCCACTGCTGCACCACACGGGACTTATGCTTGGGGTCGTTATCATGCTGGAAGATCACAGCCGAGGGGGTTAGCTTGTAAAAGTCGATGGTTTTTTTCAGCTCGTCTTGCAAAATGCTCAGATACAGCGGCCCGTCCATCCGACCATCGATTTTGCACATGAAACCCGCCCCCTCAAACGTCATACATCCCCAGATCATCAAGCCGCCGCCCCCGTGTTTGACGGTTTGCTTGATCTGGTGGTGTTGGAGAGTCGTACCTTCACGAACCCAGGCGTACGCGCGGCCGTCAGAGCCGAACCTACTAATCCTCGTCTCATCCGACCATATGACCCGTCGCCAATCATCTATGGTCCAATCCGCGTGGGCCCGTGCGAACGCCAGCCTATCGTGGATATTTTTCTTGGAGAGTCGCGGCTTCTTAGGCTGCTGAACTGCGATAAGGCCGCTGGATTTGAGCGCATTACGCACCGTCCTAGGATGCACCGTGATGCCGTGCTGGGATTCGACGATTTGGGCCGCATGCCTCGAGGTTTTTGCCTCGCCGCTAGTGATCGCCCTGACGATCCCACGACGAATTCTACTCGACAGTACGCGTGGACGACCAGCAGTGGGCATTGTAGGACGTACGTCCTCGGGACTAGTCTCTGAAATCGCCTTGAGCCCGACATCATGTACTGTACTTTTCCCAACGCCAACATGTTTCGCGATTTGCCTCGTGCTGAACCCCCTACGCAACAGGGCCACGATCCGGGCGCGACGAGCCTCATCTATCGGTCTCATCTTGGCGTAGTCTACGCCTCGGGTATAAACTCTATTCTGACTACTCGACGATTGCGTTAGGAACTATGGAGAGAATGCGCTAGTCGAAAACGGATCTAGTCCGCTGCTTGGCCAAAACTGTCCGGATGCACTCACGCGACTGAAATCTTGTCCACGCTATTAGTGCGACCCATTCAGGTTGCAAACGTGTTACCCTATTGTAACTGGCACGCGTAACTTATTAGTCAGCAATGAACATTCAACGATACATCGGATGAAAGCATTCAAATCATGTGTTGAACCTAAAATTGGACTTTATCCAGGCAATACTTTCCGTCGCTGTAGCAGCATTGCGTGATTACGAGCTGCACTCCCTCGACTTCTCTATAACATTTCTCTAGGGCAGTCTGCACGAGCATGTCTATCTGCGCCGCCCGCCAGGCTTCACCGGCACCTTCGCGCCTGGGACTCAGTGGCTCCTCCGGCGCCCGATTTACGGCCTGCGGCAGGCGCCTCGCGAGTGACACGACACTCTGCGCATGTTAGCTGACCTATAGTTCTTCCCGTCATCTGCAGACCCTTCTCTCTTCGTTCGTTCTGGCCAAACCCCGTTCTACATCATTGTCTACATAGACGACCTGGTCTTCGGTACTGCAGATAGAGACGCACTGGCCTCCTTCAAGGTCGAGCTGCTGGAGAGACACGCTTGCATTGACCTAGGAGAGTTGCTCCGCTACCTTGGCCTGGAGATCTCTTGGGACAGAGCAGCGCACACCATCACTCTCACACAGTCACACTTGGTGCGCCAGGTCCTTAAGAGGTTCGGTCTTCAGTTCTCCTCCGCACAACCCACACCTCTGCCAGTAGATCACAGGCTCTCGCCTCCTGTCCCTGAGGAGTCAGTAGAGCCTAGTGGTCCATACGCAGAGCCGGTGGTTTGCCTCATGTACCTAATGGCTTGCACTCGTCCAGATCTGGCATACCTTCCCAGCATCCTGGCTCGCTTTGTGGCCATAGGCAGACACCGACCACAGCAATGGTCGACCGCTAAGAGGGTTTTGCGTTATCTAGCAAGCACATCGGGCATGGGGCTAGTGCTAGGAGGACGCAGGCCAATGGTCCTTACAGGGCACACAGACGCTTCGTGGGCAGATGACGCTGAGACGCTCATGTTCCCCAGGGCTACTGCTTTAGACGTAGTGCAGGCGCCATCTCGTGGAGGTCCACCCGCTCATCGTCTGTTGCACAGTCTAGCTGTGAGACTGAGATCTACGCCGGTGCCATGGCAGCACAGGAGCTCCGCTAGCTAACTTTCTTGCTCACACACTTAGGTGAGTGGCCTAGTTCTCTCCCGATCCTGTACGCTGACAACAGGGCCATGATCCTCCTATGTCACGAGCCTCGACTGGAGGGCAGAGCGAAGCACATCCAGCTACGGTACTTCCTCCTACGTGAGCTACAACAGCGCCGCCAGACCCGCATACTGTAGTTCACTTGGCCTCTGGTACCACCAATACAGCTGATATCTTTACGAAGGCGCTTGTGCCTAACGATCATCAGCAGCACTGTGTAAAGCTTGGTCTAGTTCCTGTAGCTTCGTACTTGTTATGACCTTTATTATGTACTATATCTTATATTAACTTGACAAGCCTTGTGGCTCTTGTTCCAGTGGCTGGAATAGCAGTGCCACCCTGGGTTTCTTGTTTCCTTTGTACTCTTGCAGACTGGTCTTCAGACCGTTTCCTTAGTGGTTAGTGACTGGGTTTCTAACAATGGTTACCCAGAAACTCAGCGACGGTATGGAAAGGCAGCCTGAGGAGGTTAGATTGGTCAAGCTCCAACTCAATCTTGGTCTTAGATGAGATGCACGCTTTAAACGGGTTTCAGTCTCTTCTCAGGTTACATCTAATCAGTTATATGATTCAAGGATCGTAGGAGGCTATGTGGGCTCTGAAGGCCGTGCAGATTGCCGAGAATTTGCACAAGATGATAGCAAGAGTGTTCTGTGGCAGGTTTGTGCGCTAATTAACAACTAACAAAGAGATCTTGTACGCAATTTCTACTAGTCGGTTGTATCATTGGTATGAGCTTGTGGCATGGTATTGGAATTTTCATGACATGTATACTTGTTCATGAACTTTCATCCTGAGATGTGACACAATTATTGAGCTCACGCTAGTCACCGAGAGTCCGCCAGGTCACCCGGCGTTGGGTTGAGGGGAGGGGACTTGGGGGGGCGGTTGATTCGTTCCGCCGAATCCTGCTTGATCGAGCGCCAAAGAATTTGCAGACTCCAATAATTGTGTGCCATCCTGCCACGCGTTGGCATGGCATCCAAATCTCACTCGACGGCGACCTCATTTCGCCAAACCTTCCTAAACTGGGGGAAACGGAGGAACGTCGCTCGCGTCGCCATTCAAGCAAGAAAGCACCTGCATTGCATCTCCATGGATGTACTACTGTACTGCTCCTCCACCTCACCTCAAGAAATATACTGGGTGACTGAAACTAGTCTGCTAGCATCCTGCATCTGGCACTGCTGCATGATACAACAAGGATCGCCTTGTTAGCACACACAATTCTCCTTTGATTTAAGAATTAGTATTTTCCTCTGGCCTTCATTGGTGCATAAGGCAGCGCGCATCGTTGGCTGCCATTGCTGTGAGTAACTGTACGGGTATTTACTACGCGAGACGTTCCTCATCTCCCATCATCAAGCGCGCGCAGTTTCTTGGAGGTTGTATTCAGTTCAAAAACTACACTTTTGACAAACCACTCCCTATGACGACTCGTCGGACGAGGCAACGAGGCGTCGCTGTAGCGGGGTTTCCCCCGTTACTACTCGCGATCCTGATCGCAATCGCCCTGATCATCGATTGCCGCGTCGCTTCTGCGCGATTTGGCCGGCAAAACGGCCCGAAGGCGACCGCAAGACACCCCGCTCGCCGCACAGGTAGTCATTCCTAAGGCACCGCCTCTAGAGCAATTCTTAGCACTCACTTCAAGAAAGAATAATCGTTTGCCAGGTTGAAACTGTCCTGTATTTCATTGCCGCTCATCTTGCAGCATCCTTTGGATCGACGGCGCTTTCTCCGCACTCGTCCTTTCCTTGGCCGCTTATAGTGAATCCCACATTTCAGACTACTATATGCTCCCCAAATAGACTTTCTATTCCTCACGAGACGGTATAGGCTCACCCTTCTTCTCGTCTCCCCTCGTCCCCTTTCGCCCATCCAACTCTTCCTCCACGCCGCCTCCCCAGGCGGCGCCGCTCGACTCCGATTTCCTTCCCGCCGTCTTGTCAGCGCCACTGGCGGTTACTACTATACTGATTACAGCGCCAGCGGTACCGGCGGTGATAGCGATAGCAGCGGCGGCATCGATTACGGAAGTGATAGCAATGCTGACGGTGGCGGTTATAATGGTGATCTAGGGAGTGCCACCGACACGAGCGGCGACTATGGTGGTGATGTGGGTGGGGATAATAACACTGATTCTGGCGGTGATTATAGTGGGGATTACGGTGGTGATGGGGGAGAAAATAATAACACTGATTATGGTGGAGATTATAACGGAGATTACGGTGGTGATGGGGGAGGAAATAATAGTACTGATTCGAACGGTGACTATAACGATGCTAACGGCTGTGATGGAAACAACAGCACTGATCCTGGATGTGACGATAACGGAGATTACGGTGGTGATGGGGGAGGAAGGAATAACACTGATTCTGGCGGTGATTATAACGGGGATTACGGTGGTGATGGGGGAGGAAGTAATAACGCTGATTCTGGCGGTGGTTATAACGGAGATTACGGTGGTGATGGGGGAGGAAATAATAATACTGATTCGAACGGTGACTATAACGATGCTAATGGTTGTGATGGAAACAACAGCACTGATCCTGGAGGTGACTATAACGGAGATTACGGTGGTGATACAGGCAGAAATAACACTGATCCTGGTGGTGACTATAACGGAGACTACGGCGGTGATACAGGCAGAAATAACACTGATCCTGGTGGTGACTATAATGGAGACTACGGTGGTGATACAGGCAGAAATAACACTGATCCTGGTGGTGACTATAATGGAGACTACGGTGGTGATACAGGCAGAAATAACACTGATCCTGGTGGTGACTATAACGGAGACTACGGTGGTGATACAGGCAGAAATAACACTGATCCTGGTGGTGACTATAACGGAGACTACGGTGGTGACGGAAGCAGTAACAATAGCACTGATTCCGGCGGCGATTACTACGTTGATGGCAGCGTGGATGGCGGTGGTGATGGTGGCGGTGGTAGCGGCAGTGATGGTGGTTATCCTGGCGGTGCTGATGACCAGCCTGCTGGTCCTCCCATGGCAGGTACTACTGCTAGTGGTGAGAGCATGCGGCAAGGAAGAATCCCCCCTCTGCAATCATCACCCGCAACTGCTCCCTTTGCCTCATTCGCCGTATCTCCCTCTTCCTCCCCTTGTTTGTGCAGTCCCCGCAACTTCACACCTGCACACTACCTGCCCACCTGCACACCTGCACACCACCTGCACACCTGCACACTTGCACACCTGCTCACCTGCACACCTGCGAGTTTCTGCAGTGCCGGCCTGTTGTGTTGTATGTAGCGTCATCATGTGTCACACCGCACCGGGCTTCGCTTGGGCCGCACTTCCCATCTCTCAAGCAGCGACACGCACTCGCTCATCGACCTCTGTCGTCTCCCCTGCCCGATATAATCACGCGTTCGCATCTCCAGGCGATAAGGCGCTGGGCCTGGCGCCTCCCCAGAAGACGAATGTGCTTCTATCGATGCCAGACTTCAACCCTGTCTCCCGCTACGCCACATCTCAGGTACCCTCACACCCTTTCCCTCTCACATCCCTCGCCCAACACGGAAGCATGCCAGCAGTGGGCACGACCCATAAACCATGATCCCAAAACCTTTAACATAACGCCCCAAACCTTTGATCTTAAGGTCCGAAACCTTGTAAACCCGAAACCCCAGACCTTGAACCCTGAACCATCTCCTCCGCTTCCCTCCTACCTCTTCCACACGGGCTTCACTCTCCGCGCCCTCGCAGATATCCTTCGACGCAACGACAGGCGCCCCCCAGTGGACTCTGGTGAACAACGTGTCACACATAGCAGTGCTGTCGCCTGTGGAGGACCAGGGGATATGTGGTGAGTGGTGATGAGGGTCTGCGGCTGCAATGAGGGGAGTGAGTGAGGATGTGAGCGAATAGAAGCAAGCAGGAGTCCCCCTGCACCCGGTGTCGAGGTTTAAAGATATTAGATATGCCCGAAAGTCAAGGGATTTTGGATATTGGATATTGCATACTGGATTCTACCCAAACCATGTGCTCTGATGCCTCTCGGTGCATCTCCAACAAAGGTATGGTTCATTCTTCCTTGCCCTCTCGTCGTTTCCTTTGCGTGTTCTCATAACCCCCTCTCCCCCTCGCGCCCTCCTCTCTCTCCCTCCTTCCTTCCTCCTCGCTCTTCCCACAAGACCAGGCGCCTGTTGGGCGGCTACCACGCCCACGCCCACGCAGCAGCAGCAGCGGCAGCAGCGGTGGAGGCAACAGTAGCCATCTTCACCTCTACCACGCCCGCTCACCTCTCTCTCAGCTCGCAGCAGCTGCTGGACTGCTCCCCTGGCACGTGTGTGGGCGGCTACCAACACCACTAATATTCCTTCTTGCCCCCTTCCCCCGTTCTGGCTGCCCCCCCTCTCCGCCCCCCTTCCTCCCTCACTCCCTCCTCTCTCCCTCCTCCCTCCCTCAACAGGCGCCTGTTGGGCGTTCGCAGCAGCAGCAGCGGTGGAAGCAGCAGTGGCCATTTTCACCAAAACCACGCCAGCGCGCCTCTCCCTCAGCTCGCAGCAACTTCTGGACTGCTCCCCCGGCACGTGCATCGGCGGCTACCCTGAGGACGCCCTGCAGTACAGCACGCAGAGCTGCCTCCGCCTCGCTTCGCAGTACCCCTATGCCATGGACAAGGGGACTTGCAGAGGCGCCCTTCAGGTAGGTACTGGGCAGTACCGGCTAGTGTGGGCTGGGTTGGTTTGGTCTGGGTGTGAGTGCGGCTGGTGGGCTTAGTGCGGTTTATGTTGGGTGGCCATCGATGCGACATCGGCGGCATCTTCCGTAGGAGTGGCGGCTGGCAGCGTGTGAGGTAGCCGGAGTATGTTCCTGAGGGTATACACAGCATGGGATGGCATGCACGCTGTGCTCCATGCTCCGTGCTCCCTACCACAAAAATATCACCACCTTTTCTCCCCATCCCCATTCCTCCTCCCTCCTCCCAACCCTGTTCCCCCCCATTCCACCCACCCCCCTTTTATCTCCGCACCCTCCGCACTACCCCCCACCTCCTCCCTGTCCCAGCGCGCGACATCGCCGGTGACTTTTGAGTCGACTCAAAATTCATCTCCGCACCCTCCGCACTTCTCCCTACTTCTCCCTGTCCCAGCGGGCGACTTCACCGGTGTCGCATTTCGAGCAGGTGGCGCTGGAGGGCTCTCTGGGGCTCATGCTGGCGGTGAGGCAGCAGCCGGTCATCGTCTCCATCCGTGCGTCTGCACCTGACTTCGTCACCTACAAGGTGAGGGAGGGCTTTCAAGTGAGTATATGGCAGTGCTTTTTTTAGTCGACTCAAAATCACATAGTGCACATAGCGGGGAGCGGTTGTGATGGCAGCAGCCGGTCATCGTGTCCATCCGTGCCTCCGAGCCGGACTTCGTCAACTACACCGTGAGCGAGAGCAAGGCGAGACCACTCAGATCCCAAGCGCACATGTAAGCAGAGGCAGTGCTGACAGCATGCTCAGCAAATGGCACTTTTCCGCTTTCACCTGCTGCTTTACATACACCTCCCTTTCACAGCACAATGTCTCCCCTATCTCATCCTTCTCTCCCCTCTCCTCCCCTCCCCTCCCCTCCCTTTCCCTTTCCTCCCGCCCTCCCAGTTCGGCATCTACAGCAACGCCTCCTGCTTCTCCCCGGCCAACCCCATCCTGGACCACGTGGTGCTGGTGGTGGGCTTCCACTTCAACGCAACGTCCCCCACATCACCCGACAACTACTTCGTCATCCGCAACAGCTGGGGCGCCAAGTGGGGCGAGCAAGGCCACATGCGCATTGCCATGACGTCGGCGTACGGTGGAATGTGCGGGATGACGTACCAGCTCGGGCTGTACCCCACCCTCAAACGTACGCTGGATAGAAACAAACAGACAGACAGGTAGACAGACAGCCAGACATGCGCAGGCTCTGTACCCGGGTTTCAATTGTTGATCAACTAGTTAACCTGCCCTACTTGGGTGGATTACAGCCCACATCTTCTCCTTCCAGCCACCTTGACCTCTTCACAAGTCACTCACCATCGCTTATACCACCTTGTACTACCACCTTGTACTACCACCTTGTACCACCTGTGTGACTCACTCATAGATTGTCCCTCCTCGCACTATCATTCCTGCTCCTGGCCCCTCCTTGCCCCTCTGCCCTCCACAACAAGCCTTGTCCTGGCCCCTCCTTGCCCTACCCTCTGCTCTCTTCCCGCCTCCCTCTGCTGCAGCGAGCCTGATTCAAGACCCGTGCAAGCTGGCGGTGTGTGGCAGTGGCACGTGCACCAGCACGGGGAAGGGCCAGTACCAGTGTGACTGTCCAAGCAGCAAGGGGCTGCTCAAGGGCGAGAATAAGGACGGCACCGAGACTTGCATTCTCAGTAAGCCGGTAGTAAGGGAGGATTGCGTGAGCCGGGATGGCTTTCGAGTCGAATCAAAAGTGCACCAGCATGGGGTAGGCCAGTACCAGTGTGACTGCCTAGGCAGCAAGGGGCTGCTCAACGGAGAGAATAAGGACGGCACCGAGACTTGGGGAGTGAATGAATGGGGGGAGCGGAAGGGAGGTTGAGGTGAGGGGGGAAGGAGAGGGATCAGAGACAGGGAGTGAATGGGGGGAGCGGGAGGGAGATTGAGCGATTTTACAACGTGTATGGATGTATTTATGTGCAGATGTGTGCAGGGAGCGTGTGCGTGAAAGGGCGTGGCTTCCAATGTTCTTGTGGAACTGGCAAGATTTCATGCTGGCAACCATGCCCTTCTGCTGCTCCTCCAACCTAGCTTACCCCACCCCCCCCACCCCAACCCCACCTCGTCCCTGCCCTCCTCTTCCACCTTCCCCCCCCTCCGCCGTTCCATACAGAGGGCAAGTGCTCGCTCTTTACGTCGAACCCGTGCGGCGTGGGAGCATGTGTGGACGGCAGCTCCGGTGATTTCTCCTGCGTGTGCCCGTCTGACTACACTGCCAGCCAGCTCAGCTCTGGCCAACCCACCTGCGCGCCGAGTAAGAGAACCCATGGATGCATCATGCATGTGTGGATGAGAGGGGGCATTGGAACGGGGGATGGGTGAATGGATGGACAGGAAATCCTGCAGTACCAAGGTGCTTTGAAACTATCTTTCCCTCTCCTGATCTCAGCTAGTCCCCTAACAATTTCATCAGCTCTCGTTGCCCCTCCTCCTCTCCCCATCGCCCTCTCCTCCCATGCCACCGACACAACAACGGCCAGGTGCATCAGGCAGTGGGGCGGGCAGCATGCAGGAGTACGAGACAAAGGAGGGCGACACATGCTACGGCATATTCGTGTTCTACGGCCTCACAGAGGAGCAGTTCAAGAGCCAGAACCCGGTCAGTGCTGTGCTGCTGTGCTGCTGCAGGGCATGGCACTCATGCCTGCTGAGGTTGTTGGGGCTGCAGGATTTGATGGGTGTGCTGGGGGGTTCAAGCCGAGAAAGGGGGTGCTTCTTATGATGCTTCTGCTGCTGGTGCTGATTCTGGTGCTGCTGCTGCTGCTGCTGCTGCTGCTGCTGCTGATGCTGGTGGTGCTGTTGGTGTTGATTCCAGGGTGTGGAGTGCAACCCTCTCACGCCGGGCACCCGCCTGCAGCTCACCCTCCCACCCACCAGGCGTACATGCAGCACGCGGTATCCCGTCTCTAAGGTACCCACAGATGTATTTAAGGCACCCACCTACAAAATCACTCCTCATACAGTGCCCTCTTGTCAATGCTTACCGTCTCCAGTATAGGTTCCTTTCCTACACCTCTAGCTCACCTCATCTCCCATCCTTCGCTCCATCATCATGTGACATCCACCCTCGTCTCCTCTTCCCCAAATCTTCTCCCCTGTTCCTCTTCCCTCTCCTCCCCTTCCAAGGCTGACAGCATGGCGGGCACGTGTGACGCCATCAACAGCAGGTTCGGCATCAGAATCACAGACCTCAACCCAGGCTTGGACTGCACGAACCTGCAGCCAGGGCAGCAGGTGAGAGTGAGAGATGGTGGGAGTGGCGGTTGGTGCACTAACGCACGAACACATAGAACGCATAGACAACTCAGTTACAAGCTGTCTTGCTAGTCTCCTGCCCTCACACCCCCTACTCGCCTCTCCCAATCTCCCATTCCTCCTCTCCCCCCTCACACTCTCTCTACCATTCCTCCCCCATGCCTCGCTGCAGGTGTGCATTGAGTGGGGCCAGGCAACTGGCGGGGGTGACGGAGAGGGCAACAGCGCGTACGAGCAGTGCACGCGGTACGAGGCGGTGGGGGGCAACGACACGTGCGAGAGCATCCTGCAGGGCAACCCGGCGCTGTCCTGGCGCTCGCTGTACCGTCTCAACCCGGGGCTGCTCTGCGACAACCTCAACCCGCTCCGCAATCAGGAGGTGTGCGCATGGGGGGGGTGGGTGGTGTGTGCATGGGTGGGTGGGTGCGCTTTAGCGTTCCAGCTGCTCTCTTTCTCAGGAGGCCCTCTGGAACCATATGTCTGGATGGGTGACTAAAGGCATTACCAACTCACTGTAGTCTCATCCCACTTTCCCCTCCTCTTCAGGCTCTTGTGGCACATATTCAACCCCGCCACATTGCAGCAGAAGCACCCACCATACCCAACCATCCCAATCCACATCCCTCACTCATGCCAACCTACATGCCCTTAACCACCACACACCCATCCACCCATCCACCCATCCACCCATCCACCCATCCCCCATCCGCCCAGGTCTGTGTGGGTGCGACTCCCCTTGGAGCCATAGTGTGCGACACGCGGAGGAGCCGCAAGTACACAGTGGAGGAGGGGGACAGCTGCGCCACTCTCGTGGTGAAGCAGTTCAAAAGGAACCCCCGCCTTGTGCCTGAGCTCAACCGGGGATGGATGTGCCGCTCTCAGAACCTGTTTCGAGGCCGCCCTCTCTGCATTCCATTCTAGGCCTTTAATTCCTCATGTCTCAAGGTCCCTAGGTTCCTGGGTCCCCCCTAGGTCCCTCGGTCCCTAGGCCCCTTACATACCGGTATATGCGTACCACAGTGAAGGCCCTGCCCTGTGTTTTTTTTCTGTAGGACTTTCTTGTGTGCCTTGGAAATAAATGGCGGCATTGTTTGTTTGGCCCATTCAATACAACTGTCTTTTATCCCTAGCTCCATTAATTAAATGTATAAGATTGCGATGACCTTTCCAAAAAAGGTAACCTATCCGTCAGTGGTGGGTTTCCCTTGGAAGTTGAGCACATACCGGTAGTAAACTACTTTGCTGGCTAGTAGGATGTAAATGTATGGACTGGAGGGTGAATTTTCTAACAATCGATGCGCTGTGCTGTGCGTCCGTTTATGCGCCGATGACTATAATCGCTTTCCCCTTCTAACTATCTTGCTCACTTTCCCGCGGTACAGTAGTGAGGAAGATTTAATCGCACACCATCGCATCGTGCTGAGATGCTGCGGCGCTGCCCACCGCAGCTAGGCATATCACTTATTGTAGCCTTACTACCAGGGTCCTTCAGACGTGCCAAGGATGGTTGGATCAGCATCAAGGTTCAACCTCCTCACCTCCTCATAACCTCCGTCTTTCAAATGGGAGGCATGTCAACATATATTTGTATATGTTTATAGTCTAGATAGGTCCATGCTTATAGAGGGTACAACCCCTCAGAACAAAACCACCCTGTATCTCTCATTCTAGTTCATTGCGTTATTCTGAGATGGTATCAGCTAGGTTAGGTCCGCTCACCCGCGCTTCCGCTCTAGACCGCCCTAGCTTGCCCTAGCTGCCCTAGCTCCCAGCTGGCCCCACGCCCGCTGGCCCCTCGCCCGCTGGCCCCGTGCTAGCTGACCCTAGCTCGCCGGCCTTTCGCCCACTGGCCCCGCTGGCCACGCGCTCGCCCGCTGGTCCCGCTGGCATCGCGCTCGCCCGCTGGCCCCGCTGGCCCCGCGTTCACCCACTGGCCCTGCGCTCATCAGCTGGCCCTAGCTCGCCGACCGTCACTAGCCGCGGTCGCCAGCCGCCCGTCACTAGTCGCTCGCCCGCTGGCCCCCGTCGCTAGCTGCCCGCCGTGGTCCCTCGCTCGCCTGCTGGCCCGCGCTCGTGGCTGGCTACTAGCTCGCCGCTGGCTCTTCGCTCGCCGCGCGCTGGACTCCCACTCGGCCGGCCCTAGCTCGCTCGCCGGCCCTAGCTCGCTCGCTGGCCCTAGCTCGCCGGCCCTAGCTCGCCAGCCCTAGCTCGCCAACCCTCGCTCGCCGGCCCTAGCTCGCCGGCCCCCACTCGCTGGCCCCAGCTCGCCGGTGCTCGCTCGCCGGCCCGCGCTCGCTAGCCGGCCCCTGTTCGCGCCGGCCCCAGCTCCTGCCGGCCCCAGTTCGCGCCGGCCCCAGCTACCGCCGGCCCCAGCTCCTTCCGCCCCTGCACGCCACCGCTGCTGCGCCGGACTCTGCTTGCCGAGCCGCGCCGTCCCAGCTCGTCATGCTACCGTGCCGCCGTGCCGCTGTGTCGCCGTGTCGCCGTGCCGATGTGTTGCCGTGCCGCCATGCCGCTGTGTCATCGTGCCACCGTGCCACCGTGCTGCCGTACCACTGTGCTGCCGTAGCCGTGGTGATGGGGGACCTTGTGCTCCACCTTGAAGCGGAGGGTAAGGCGGTTGAATTTGAGGCGTGGCTCGTCAACCTTCACCGTTAGCTGACGGGTTAGCGCCCAAACGGCTATTCCCTGGCCATACATGTCGACGGTAAGCTCCCCTGCCCCGACGAGCCTCCTGCCTTCTCTGACTTCCCTACGTCTGCTGAGCGTGAGGCCTTTGCCGCTGCTGAGCTTGCCCGCCCTGTCTGGGAGTCGTGCAACGCCGTAGCGCAGCTTGCTACCAGTCACGCCCTCCCCCTGTCTGAGCGTCCCCGCTTTACGGCTGTAGCAAATGCGAAGGAAAACTTATATGCGGTCATTGCTCGCTATGCCACTCCCTCCTCCGCCTCTGCCGACCGTTTGATCCTCCCCATGCTATTCCCTGATCTTACGTTACCTACTGTTACAGATCTTGCCACTCATCAACGCACCCTTGAGACTAGCTACCGCGCTGCTAGCATTGAGGCCCAGCTCGTTGCATTCCCTCCTCCCATTTGTGCTACCCTTCACATCATTGCCACGCGCCTTCCTGACTGCCTTGCCACTGCCCGCGACCACTTCCTTAGTCAGCACCCAGGTGACCTCACCCTGACTGCCTTTAACACCACCTTGTCTGCAATAGAGACCCGCCATAACACTATTGCTCAGTCTAGAGGTACTGCGGTGGTCCCTATCTTCCATGGTTGTGCTCCCTCCTAGTGCACTTAATCTGACATTTCTGCCGCTACCGCTGAGACAGCCCCCGCTGCTAAGACCGCCGTAGCGGTGGCCTCAACGCAGCCTCGTCAGGGTAAGGGCCGCCACCCCAAGGGGGGGCGTGGCAGAGGGAGGGGTGGTGGGGGTGGCGGTGGTGGTGGAGGTGGTGCAAGTGCTAGCAGTACCGACGAGGGGACCAGGGCTGATCCCCCGTAGCAGCAGCAACAGCCGCCGCAGCAGCAGTCATAGAAGCAGTTGCAGTAATCGCAGCAGCAGTAGTGGGGTCGACTCCCGCCGGGGCGGAACGACGGCTCCGGTGGTGGTGGTAGCGGTGGCAGCCTTCCTTTGCTGTAGTTGCAGCAGCAGCAGTGGGGTTGCCTCCTGCCAGGGTGGCCCGGCGGCTCCGGTGCTGCGATAGGCGTAGGACCTCCTGCCTTGTTTAGCCTTAGCTCGATGCTAGCTCCTTCACCGGCTGACGCTACCGCTGCTCTCTCCTTCACGCTAGACTCTGGTGCGCCTGCTTCTTCCACGACCACACTTTGCCTACACCGCTTACCGGCCCTGCCGCTGTCGCGTTTGCTGACCCCTCCTCAGGTCCGGTAGTTGCACGTAGCTCTACTACCCTTCGTTGTCTGGCACTTTCCCTCAGGCTCTCTTACAGGCTGGCATATCTCCTCGTTCTCTAGGAACCTATTTGGTGTCGGTTGTCTTCAGGACCTTGGCGTCACAACTACATTTCCTGGTCACGAGCGGTACGCTGTCTGTACCGACGCCGCCACTAATGCCCCCCTCACCACGTTCCCCCGGGACCCGGTGTCTGGCCTGTTCATGCTGGATACAGCGTCCCCCCCAGTGAGGGCGTCCCCCCAAGTGCCTGCGGCTATCCACGTCACTGTGGCTTGCTCATGTCAATTGCTCACCCACCCGTTGCTACTGTGGCACCACCGCTTAGGTCACCCCGCACTCCCACATCTGCGTCACATGTCTAAGCACGGTCTTGTCTTAGGTCTCCCTGCATCGCTCCCTGCTCTCCCTCCCTCGCCTTCGCCGCCGTGCATGCCCTGCGTCGAGGGTCGGTTGCGCCATGCTCCTCACTCCTCCTTGCTTCCCCCTACAACTCCGCCACTCTAGACCCTGCACCTGGACGTCTGGGGCACAGCCCCGTCTCTGGGCCGCGTCGAGAGCGCTATTTTCTAGTGCTTGTCGACGATTACACGCGCTACACCACAGCGTTTACCCTGCAGCAGAAGGCTGATGTGCCTGACGTTCTTATCACGTGGGTCCTAGCTGTGCGAGTCCACTGCGGCCTCCTTGTCCTGCGTCTTCACTCCGACCGTGGCGGCGAGTTTGCCTCCGGTCGGCTTGACCAGTTCTGTCGTGCGGAGGGCATCACCCAGTCGTACACCCTGCCGGACTCTCCGCAGCAGAATGGGGTCGCTGAGCGATGAATCGGTTTGGTCATGGAGGTGGCTCGTACGTCCATGATCCATGCCGGTGCACCGCATTTTCTGTGGTTGTTAGCCGTTCGCTACACCGCTCAGCAGCATAACCTGTGGCCGCACTCCCAGCGGCCGGAGGTTTCGCCGACCCTCCTCTGGACCGGGTTCCCTGGTGACGCGTCTATGTTCCACGTCGGGGGCTGCCTCGCTCACGTTAGTGCCTCTGGCACGGACAAGCTCAGTGCCCGCACCGTCCCTTGTGTCTTCCTTGGCTTACCCTTAGACGCGTATGACTTACACTTTTACCACCCGCCGTCTCACTGTTTCTTTCACTCTCATGACGTCACTTTCTACGAGTTTGTCTTCTTCTACACCCGCTTTCCCCACTGAGGTCTCCCGGTTATTGTGCCCCCGGTTCCCACTCCCCCAGTAGCCCATGCTCCTCTCCCTCCCCGTACTGCCTCATTTGGTGTATCTCACGTCACTCCCCTCCCGTTGTCTGGCTAGCGCCTCCTGGGTCTTCCCTTCCCCGTCCTCCCGCCTGCGCCTCCCCCGAAGCCGGCTCCCCCACCTGTCTACGACCCTGTTTTTCCTCCGCCGGACTCGTCTTCGGCTCGTTTCCCCCCTTGTTCTCCTCGTGTGTCTCCTCCCTTGTCTCCTGACCCGACCCCCCCCTCCCGCCATTGATCTCACCGTGCCTCTCGTGCTCGTCCTATTTCTCTTGTCCAGAGCGCTCACGCTATGTGGCTCCGCTCTCACACGTCTCATGCTCCTCTTCTAATGTCGCCTCCTCAATCGTCGCTTGTTGTCTCTCCACCTCCTCTCTGTGACTTACTTCGTGCCGCTAGTTCTCTTGTTCCTCGCGTTCCTGGCACTCTTGTTACCGACCCGTCTGTTCCTGTCTCCAGTCTTGACACTCTTCACGTTGCCGCCGCTGACCTTGCCTCTACCCGCCGCCTTGACTACGCGACCGCTCTGGTCTCTGACCCTACCCGTCCTCCGTCTGTCGGGGGTGCACCTGCCCTTGGCAGTGACGTCCAAGAGGAAAGGCAGTACGAGCTAGATTTCCTGTTCGAGGCCGCTCCCTATCTGTGCTCCATGTTGCTAGTCCTTGAGGGTGACCCAGATGCCCTTGACATCCAGACCCCTCGCACTTATGCTGAGGCGACCTCGGGACCCTGAGCCTCTGAGTGGATAGCTGCCATGGACGCGGAGATGGCTTCTTGGAGATCCACCGACACCTGCGTTGACGCAGTTCCCCCAGCAGGGGTGAACGTAGTCAATGACCAGTGGCTCTTAAAGGTGAAGCGCCCTCCTGGAGAGCTGCCGATGTTCAAGGCACGCTACATTGCTAGAGGCTTCAGCCGTCGCGAGGGTGTTGACTACTTTCAGA